CGGCATGCTTGGCATATCGCCACCCGGCATGCTTGGCATATCGCCACCCGGCATGCTTGGCATATCGCCACCCGACATGCTTGGCATATCGCCACCCGACATGCTTGGCATATCGCCACCCGACATGCTTGGCATATCGCCACCCGGCATGCTTGGCATATCGCCACCCGACATGCTTGGCATATCGCCACCCGGCATGCTTGGCATATCGCCACCCGACATGCTTGGCATATCGCCACCCGACATGCTTGGCATATCGCCACCCGGCATGCTTGGCATATCGCCACCCGGCATGCTTGGCATATCGCCACCCGGCATGCTTGGCATATCGCCACCCGACATGCTTGGCATATCGCCACCCGACATGCTTGGCATATCGCCACCCGACATGCTTGGCATATCGCCACCCGGCATGCTTGGCATATCGCCACCCGGCATGCTTGGCATATCGCCACCCGGCATGCTTGGCATATCGCCACCCGGCATGCTTGGCATATCGCCACCCGACATGCTTGGCATATCGCCACCCGACATGCTTGGCATATCGCCACCCGACATGCTTGGCATATCGCCACCCGACATGCTTGGCATATCGCCACCCGACATGCTTGGCATATCGCCACCCGGCATGCTTGGCATATCGCCACCCGGCATGCTTGGCATATCGCCACCCGACATGCTTGGCATATCGCCACCCGGCATGCTTGGCATATCGCCACCCGGCATGCTTGGCATATCGCCACCCGGCATGCTTGGCATATCGCCACCCGACATGCTTGGCATATCGCCACCCGACATGCTTGGCATATCGCCACCCGACATGCTTGGCATATCGCCACCCGACATGCTTGGCATATCGCCACCCGACATGCTTGGCATATCGCCACCCGACATGCTTGGCATATCGCCACCCGACATGCTTGGCATATCGCCACCCGACATGCTTGGCATATCGCCACCCGACATGCTTGGCATATCGCCACCCGACATGCTTGGCATATCGCCACCCGACATGCTTGGCATATCGCCACCCGACATGCTTGGCATATCGCCACCCGACATGCTTGGCATATCGCCACCCGACATGCTTGGCATATCGCCACCCGACATGCTTGGCATATCGCCACCCGACATGCTTGGCATATCGCCACCCGACATGCTTGGCATATCGCCACCCGACATGCTTGGCATATCGCCACCCGACATGCTTGGCATATCGCCACCCGACATGCTTGGCATATCGCCACCCGACATGCTTGGCATATCGCCACCCGACATGCTTGGCATATCGCCACCCGGCATGCTTGGCATATCGCCACCCGGCATGCTTGGCATATCGCCACCCGACATGCTTGGCATATCGCCACCCGACATGCTTGGCATATCGCCACCCGGCATGCTTGGCATATCGCCACCCGGCATGCTTGGCATATCGCCACCCGGCATGCTTGGCATATCGCCACCCGGCATGCTTGGCATATCGCCACCCGGCATGCTTGGCATATCGCCACCCGGCATGCTTGGCATATCGCCACCCGGCATGCTTGGCATATCGCCACCCGACATGCTTGGCATATCGCCACCCGGCATGCTTGGCATATCGCCACCCGACATGCTTTGCATATCGCCACCCGGCATGCTTGGCATATCGCCACCCGGCATGCTTGGCATATCGCCACCCGGCATGCTTGGCATATCGCCACCCGGCATGCTTGGCATATCGCCACCCGACATGCTTGGCATATCGCCACCCGACATGCTTGGCATATCGCCACCCGACATGCTTGGCATATCGCCACCCGACATGCTTGGCATATCGCCACCCGACATGCTTGGCATATCGCCACCCGACATGCTTGGCATATCGCCACCCGACATGCTTGGCATATCGCCACCCGACATGCTTGGCATATCGCCACCCGACATGCTTGGCATATCGCCACCCGACATGCTTGGCATATCGCCACCCGACATGCTTGGCATATCGCCACCCGACATGCTTGGCATATCGCCACCCGACATGCTTGGCATATCGCCACCCGACATGCTTGGCATATCGCCACCCGACATGCTTGGCATATCGCCACCCGACATGCTTGGCATATCGCCACCCGACATGCTTGGCATATCGCCACCCGACATGCTTGGCATATCGCCACCCGACATGCTTGGCATATCGCCACCCGGCATGCTTGGCATATCGCCACCCGGCATGCTTGGCATATCGCCACCCGACATGCTTGGCATATCGCCACCCGACATGCTTGGCATATCGCCACCCGACATGCTTGGCATATCGCCACCCGGCATGCTTGGCATATCGCCACCCGGCATGCTTGGCATATCGCCACCCGGCATGCTTGGCATATCGCCACCCGGCATGCTTGGCATATCGCCACCCGGCATGCTTGGCATATCGCCACCCGACATGCTTGGCATATCGCCACCCGACATGCTTGGCATATCGCCACCCGGCATGCTTGGCATATCGCCACCCGACATGCTTTGCATATCGCCACCCGGCATGCTTGGCATATCGCCACCCGGCATGCTTGGCATATCGCCACCCGGCATGCTTGGCATATCGCCACCCGGCATGCTTGGCATATCGCCACCCGACATGCTTGGCATATCGCCACCCGACATGCTTGGCATATCGCCACCCGGCATGCTTGGCATATCGCCACCCGGCATGCTTGGCATATCGCCACCCGGCATGCTTGGCATATCGCCACCCGGCATGCTTGGCATATCGCCACCCGGCATGCTTGGCATATCGCCACCCGGCATGCTTGGCATATCGCCACCCGGCATGCTTGGCATATCGCCACCCGGCATGCTTGGCATATCGCCACCCGACATGCTTGGCATATCGCCACCCGACATGCTTGGCATATCGCCACCCGGCATGCTTGGCATATCGCCACCCGGCATGCTTGGCATATCGCCACCCGGCATGCTTGGCATATCGCCACCCGGCATGCTTGGCATATCGCCACCCGACATGCTTGGCATATCGCCACCCGGCATGCTTGGCATATCGCCACCCGGCATGCTTGGCATATCGCCACCCGGCATGCTTGGCATATCGCCACCCGGCATGCTTGGCATATCGCCACCCGGCATGCTTGGCATATCGCCACCCGACATGCTTGGCATATCGCCACCCGACATGCTTGGCATATCGCCACCCGACATGCTTGGCATATCGCCACCCGGCATGCTTGGCATATCGCCACCCGGCATGCTTGGCATATCGCCACCCAACATGCTTGGCATATCGCCACCCGACATGCTTGGCATATCGCCACCCGACATGCTTGGCATATCGCCACCCGGCATGCTTGGCATATCGCCACCCGGCATGCTTGGCATATCGCCACCCGGCATGCTTGGCATATCGCCACCCGGCATGCTTGGCATATCGCCACCCGACATGCTTGGCATATCGCCACCCGACATGCTTGGCATATCGCCACCCGACATGCTTGGCATATCGCCACCCGACATGCTTGGCATATCGCCACCCGACATGCTTGGCATATCGCCACCCGGCATGCTTGGCATATCGCCACCCGACATGCTTGGCATATCGCCACCCGGCATGCTTGGCATATCGCCACCCGGCATGCTTGGCATATCGCCACCCGGCATGCTTGGCATATCGCCACCCGACATGCTTGGCATATCGCCACCCGACATGCTTGGCATATCGCCACCCGACATGCTTGGCATATCGCCACCCGACATGCTTGGCATATCGCCACCCGGCATGCTTGGCATATCGCCACCCGACATGCTTGGCATATCGCCACCCGGCATGCTTGGCATATCGCCACCCGACATGCTTGGCATATCGCCACCCGACATGCTTGGCATATCGCCACCCGACATGCTTGGCATATCGCCACCCGACATGCTTGGCATATCGCCACCGGACATGCTTGGCATATCGCCACTGCTCATCTCCTTCCACAAGGTGGCGTTGATGCGTCCATCCGTCATCACCGCATCGCCATGAGACATGACCCTCTTGTTCATCAGGCGTGCGTTCTCCTCATCTGGAACACAGACTGATGTGCGCGGGTGGTTCTTGGGCAGTGGCAGGCAGCACCGTGTCAAGTGCGACAAGAGGATTGCAACACTGTTGCCAGCTGTCACAGAACTAGCCCGAGACGCTCGGGAGTAAGCACGGCGTTCAGTATATGATTTGCACGGAACATGTGGTGACGGTTCCAATTGAGCGGTGTTGTTCTTGTGATGAGTGGCTTTGTGGCCACTAGTGGCATCTAGCCTGAGGGACTTGGCGTCAGACGGGGGAGCAGGTTGTCACATGGCCACAGCTGCAGTGACTGCAAAGATCACTTGGCACTTCTACGTGCTGGGCCCATCCTACGTGCTGGGCCCATCCTACGTGCTGGGCCCATGCTACGTGCTGGGCCCATCCTACGTGCTGGGCCCATCCTACGTGCTGGGCCCATGCTACGTGCTGGGCCCATGCTACGTGCTGGGCCCATGCTACGTGCTGGGCCCATCCTACGTGCTGGGCCCATCCTACGTGCTGGGCCCTAAGGTAGACGAGAGGATGGGTAAACTTACGGTAGGTAGGTTTGCCCATCCTCTCGTCTACCATATGGTTCAGAGGATAATGGTGAACTATGCAGGCCATGTGTGGCATGTGCACTACAGATAACGGTCTGCTGTTGCTCTACTGTCCGATTCATAGAGGTGGGTGAAGGGGTGGTTGGGTGGGTCCCACAGGCCTGCACATGCCGATTCGTAAGAGTCCTATGTGAGAGAGTGGATAAGGGCAAGCAGCTCTCTTCACTGCCCCTTCCATCTTGACTCGACCATTGTCACTTCTGCCTCTGCTGCTTATCGCCTTACCACCCCCCTCCCCTTCCTCCATCCTCACTTCCCTTCCTGCCTCACTTCTACTGCCCATGCCTCCTGCCCTTCTGCCTTCCCTTCTGCCTCCCCCTCCCTCCCCCACCAACCAGGCGCTGACGGCTGGCGCGATACCAGTGGTGGTGGCGGACAACTGGAAGCTGCCGTTTGATGACATCATCCCATGGCACCGCTGCCTGCTCGTCTTCCCCACCCACCTGCTCTCCCGCATCGAACCCACCATACGCGCCATCACCCCGGTACCCCCCAACCCGCTCTCCAACCCGCCAGTACCCTGGAATCCACCCTCTGCTCCTTGCGCCTGCTGCCTCCCTCCCTCCCTCCTGCCTTGCTCCCTCCCCTCAGCATCACCCTTCCTCTTCCCTGTTTCCCCATGCCCTGCAACCCCCGGTTTCCCCCCCACCTCTGCACGTCTCTCCGATTTCACATGCCTTGTGCTGCCACGAGTGATGACCTCTCATAAGCTCGCTGCACAGTGCGTGCCTCCACTCGCTGTGCTTGCCTCTACCATCATGTGTTCCTTGCATGTAGGTGTGATGTGAAGTGTGCAGGCATCACACCGTGCGATGCACCATATCATGCCATGCATCACACCATGCCATGCATCATATCATGCCATGCATCACACCATGCCATGCATCATACCATGCCATGCATCATACCATGCCATGCATCATACCATGCCATGCATCACACCATGTCATGCATCATACCATGCCATGCATCACACCATGCCATGCATCATATCATGCCATGCATCACACCATGCCATGCATCATACCATGCCATGCATCATACCATGCCATGCATCATACCATGCCATGCATCACACCATGCCATGCATCATACCATGCCATGCATCACACCATGCCATGCATCATACCATGCCATGCATCATACCATGCCATGCATCACACCATGCCATGCATCACACCATGCCATGCGTCATACCATGCCATGCATCACATCATGCCATGCATCACACCATGCTATGCATCACACCATGCCATGCATCACACCATGCCATGCATCATACCATGCCATGCATCATACCATGCCATGCATCATACCATGCCATGCATCACACCATGCCATGCATCATACCATGCCATGCATCACACCATGCCATGCATCATACCATGCCATGCATCATACCATGCCATGCATCACACCATGCCATGCATCACACCATGCCATGCGTCATACCATGCCATGCATCACATCATGCCATGCATCACACCATGCTATGCATCACACCATGCCATGCATCACACCATGCCATGCATCATACCATGCCATGCATCACACCATGCCATGCATCACACCATGCCACCATGCCATGCATCACACCATACCACCATGCCATGCATCATACCATGCCATGCATCACACCATGCCATGCATCATACCATGCCATGCATCACACCATGCCATGCATCATACCATGCCATGCATCACACCATGCCATGCATCACACCATGCCATGCGTCATACCATGCCATGTATCACACCATGCTATGCATCACACCATGCCATGCATCACACCATGCCATGCATCACACCATGCCATGCATCACACCATGCCATGCATCACACCATGCCACCATGCCATGCATCACACCATGCCACCATGCCATGCATCACACCATGCCATGCATCACACCATGCTTCACACCAATCTCTCGTGCCTCTCACAGCTCCCATCTCACTCATCCCTCCCAACCCACCCCTACCCCTCATTCTACATGCAGCAAGCAGCGGAGACGCGGCGGCAGCGCTATGTGTCGATATTTGAGGAGTATCTAGCATCAGATGGCATTCGCATGCGCTCTGCATGCCAATCTCTCACCCCTCTTGTACCCATGAACCCTCTCATCCCCCTCACCTCCCTCATCCCTCTCATCTGACTCGTCTTGTGCAGCAAGCGGCGGAGAAGCGGCGGCAGCGGTGTGTGTCCATCTTTGAGGAGTATTTAGCATCGGATGACATTCTCATGCGCTCTGCCATGACTGCCCTTAAATCACATGCCGGGGGGATCTTCCCCTTGTAATTCATTCCATTCCATTTATATGTTGCTTCTTGTTTTGTAAAAGCCTCAGAGTCAGTACCCCTTCTAGAGCAATGGGTTTCATGCATCACATAACAGCATACAATAACGAACCAGTGTGGGCAGTGCTGGAAAGTAATAAGTGCTCAACTCAGAGGCCTTCCTTCCTCATTCTCCACGTAAATTCAGGCACCTCCCAGCCGGAACAGGCCGACTGCTACAATAATTGCACATACATCATGACCCTTCATTAGCTGTACAGTACAAGCAGTCACCTTATTAGCGTGCCCCCAAAGGCACGCATGCATAGAGAGTACACTTCATCACATTGCTACGGAATCAACCATGCGAGTACAACAGCTTGCACATCTACCTCAGCCCCTCCCCCCCCACACTGCTCCGCACGAGCAAATCCTGCACCATTTCCACCGCACCCATTCTGGAAGGGCCCTCGGCTCCGATCCTTCACCATCTCCTCCCATACTGCATGGGCCACTCGAGATTTCGGGCATGCCCCTCTATGGGAGGTACCTCCTAGGCTGCAGCACGCGGTGCACGGTGCACAGTTGTTGTTCACTGGAGCGGCATGACGCGGCGCACTTGGATGTGGTGCGTGGACTCGGAGCGCCAGATGGGCTGCCGCCCGCTCTGCACCAGCGCCACGTCATCCCCCGGCTGCACCATGCCTCGCTTCTGCTCATTATGGAGGGGGGCACAATCAGCGGTGAGTGGAGGGGGGCACAATCAGCGGTGAGTGGAGGGGGGCACAATCAGCGGTGAGTGGAGGGGGGCACAATCAGCGGTGAGTGGAGGGGGGGTCCGGGGGAGGCAGAGGAGGGGAAAGAATGAGTGAGTGGAGGGGATGGAGTGCCTGCCGTTCTGCACCACTGCCACGTCCTACCCGTCCGCACCATGCCCCTTTCCGCAACTGGAGAGTGGAGTGGAGGGGATGGGCGAAACGTTGGGTGAATTTATGGGGAGGGCCAGAGTGGGGCAAAGAATAATTGATTGGGAGGGGTGGAGTGGGGCAAAGAATAATTGATTGGGAGGGGTGGAGTGGGGCAAAGAATAATTGATTGGGAGGGGTGGAGTGGGGCAAAGAATAATTGATAGGGAGGGAAGGAGTAGGGCAAAGAATAATTGATTGGGAGGGAAGGAGTAGGGCAAAGAATAATTGATTGGGAGGGAAGGAGTAGGGCAAAGAATAATTGATTGGGAGGGAAGGAGTAGGGCAAAGAATAATTGATTGGGAGGGAAGGAGTAGGGCAAAGAACGGTTGGTTGGGAGGGGTGGAGTGCCTGCCGCTCTGGCAGGTGGAGGGCAGGCAAGGATGGGGAGGCGGAGGGAGAAGTGAGACAAGAGAAGCAACATGACTGCGTATGGTGGACGAAGGGGGTGGGGCTGTGGAAGCTAATCATGATAAAATCAACATAACAAGAATGACTACAAGAGGTGGACGGCAGGGCGCGGGGGCACGGACGAGGAGGATGCGCAGGGCCTCGTTGAAGGTGTCCTCGGCATCGGCGGAGAAGGGCATGTAGAGCGCCCTCACCCCGTGGTACAGCGCCAGGTGCTGCTGCACCCGCTTGCTGCCGTGGGGACGAGCGGAAAGGGGGAGAGGAGCGGGGAACAGGAGAATGAAGGGATGCACGTGAAGACAAGCTGAGTTGACTTGGAAGTGTATGCAATTTGTCACATGCGTGAGCCAAGGAGGTGGAGGAATGCACGCACGTGTGCGATACGCAAGTGAGAGCAGCATGGCAAGTGAGAGCAGGGCGAGTGGCAAGGGGCAGACTCGTTGGTGAAGGCGTAGGTGATGCTGGCGGGGCGGTAGTGCGAGAGCAGCATGGCCATGAAGCCCGAGCGCGTGAACACCAGCACGGACGCGCCCAGCGTGTTGGCCATCATGGTCGCGTGGAACGCAAACATCTCACTCGTGTGCCGCTGGGGGGAGGGGGGGGGAGGAAAGGGAAGAGCGGGGGAGGAGGGAGAGGGTGGGGTGGGGGGAGATGGGGAGGAGGGGCAGGGCAGATGGTGGAGAGGAAAAAGTGAGAGTGGAAGGCATGAGGAAGAACGGTGGAGAGCGTGCAGAGATGTACTTTCTTTGGCACTGGAGAAGTGGGAAAAAGAGTTGGGGACGAGGGTGGAGAGGAGAGAGCGAGGAAGTGGAAGGAGCAGGATTGTGTCACCTCAATGGCGCACGGTGCATTCGGCGTTAAAAGGTTGGTACCTTGAAAGCGCGGCCGAGGTTGGCGGGGGTGTTGGGGACGGCCATGGTGGCCTCTGTGCGCACCGCCACCGTGTGCATCACCCTCACCGCCTTCAGGGGGAACCTGCTCCACACACACAGCCAGGCACGCAGGCGGGCAGGCGGGCGGGCATGCAGGCAGCGAGCATGTGAATGCAGACATCATGCATTTGGTATCCGCACGTGTTAACAAGCATGTTAACAAGGCAACATGCTTGCTTGAATGGAACATAACCGTGCTCACACGCTTGGGGAACCCATTTTAAGAAATGATACTGTGTTTTGTTTGTCCTTTTTGTTTGTTTTTCGCAAATAAATCACAACAATTGCTTGAAATGAATCATGCCACGGCCAGCATTACTCACTTGCCATGGGCCGTCTCCCCCGACAGCATGATGGCGTCCGTGCCCTCCCTCACTGCGATCGCTATGTCCGACACCTGAGGGCGCAGCAGCGAAGAGGGTTTTGGCAGCGTGGGGTCAACGATGCCAGGTGGACTAATCAACAGAAAACCCTCGTGGGACAAGAGGCAGATTGACATGAGACAGAAGGACACTTGGAATGAAATATGGTGGCAGGAGGAGAGGCGAGTTGAGGGGGTTGGGGGGGGGGGAGGCTGTGTGTGGGGGCCCGGGGAGGAGAGGCGGGGGCACCTCGGTGCGAGAGGGCGTGGGGTGGTTGATCATTTACTCGATCATGTTGGCCGCCACTATCAGCCGAGAGGGGGCAGGAGGAAAGGAAGCAGTGGGCGAGGAGAGGAAGCAGTGGGAGAGGAGAGGGGCCCAAACGTACCTCGGCGCGGGTGGGAGTGGGGTGGTTGATCATGGACTCGAGCATGTTGGTGGCCACTATCACTGGCTTGCCCAGCGCACGACACACCCGGATGATCTCCCCCTGCCATGCCATGCCATGCCATGGGGGGTGCGGGGTGTGAGTGGTGGGTGGTGTGGGGTGGTGAGGGGTGAGGGGTGAGCCATGAGGCATTAGGCATGAGAGACGAGGCATGACACGCCGTGCATTGTGCACCATGCACACGAGCAGCACAGCTCAGGGCAACGGCAGAGCGGCCAGTCCACTGTGTTTTCCGGGCAAAGATGCCTTGCAGCGGCCACGCAACTAGCAACACACAAGCAGCCATGCAAGCAGCCAGAATTGCACCTGCCGCAGCGGCACACAAGCAACAATCAAGGCAGCAATCCCCTCAGAGGGACGCATGTGCAGCAGCAAGCATGGCAGCAAGGCGAGTCTGGCAGGGGGGCACGCACCTGCAGCAGCGGCACCTCCTCCACCGGCAGCTCCGCTCCCAAGTCGCCTCGTGCCACCATGGCCTGCCCGGGCGGGACGATGGGGGGAGAGGCAGAGGTAGCGGTGAGGGAGAATGAGCTTCGGGGGAAAAGGAAAGGGAGTTGGGGAAGGAGGGTGTGGAGTGTAGAGCAGCATGGGCTGGCATGGATGTGGTTGAAAAGGAGTGGGGAGATAGAAATGGGAAAGAGTTGGGGGAAGGGAAGGAAGGCGGAGGAGAAGGTGCGGGCGGATGGAAACAGGGGGAGGTGTGGGTGGGGTGTGATGGAGATTTAGTCGAGTGAGATGGGGAGCATATGAGAGAGTAGCTGAAGCGCCATGGCCCTTCCCCCCCGCCCTGTTCCAACAACCACCACTTCTCCACACCCCTTCCCCATCACCAAGCCCCTCTCCCAGCCCCCTGTTCCCTGTTCCCCCCATACCCCCTGGTCCCCCACCCCCAGCCCCCCCACCCCCAGCCCCCCTGGTCCCCATGGCCCCAGCCCCCCTGGTCCCCTGTGCGTGGGTCGTACGTACCCCGTCAGACGCCTCGAGGATGGCGTGCAGGTTGGGCACGGAGTCGGCACTCTCAATCTTGGCTATCACCCCGATGTCCGCGCCCTGGCCTGGTGGGGGAGGGTTTGGGCGATGCGCGAGGGGGGAGAGAGAGTGGGGAGAAAGGGGGAGGGAAGGGGGGAGGAAGAGGGGGAGTGGTTTGAAGGATGCGTGACAGCATGCAGCTGACGACAAGGTTGGGCACGGAATCGGCACTCTACCTCGTGGGTTGGGGGAAGCAGGGGGTAGAATGTGGAGTGTGCATGTGATTTCATGCAGTGCCATGCGGTGCCATGCGGTTCCATGCGCTGCAGCACGCACCTTTGAGGTACTCCTTGAGCTGCAGCACGACCTGGGCGTCCTTGACGAAGGAGAGCGCATAGTAGTCCACCTTGTTCTCCACCCCGAACCGAATGTCCTCCCAGTCCTTGTCTGCACGGTGGGCGGGCGAGAGGGAGACCAAGAGGGAGAACCGTCAGTGAGAGAGAGAAAGAATGAGAGAGTGAAAGAGTGAGAGAGAGTGAGAGAGTGAGGGTGAAAGGGTGAGAGAGTGCGTAGTAGTCCCTGTTTTCATGCTGAACCTAATGCGAGGGAGGGAGCACAGGAGAGGAGAGGAGTGTGGGGGGAGAGCAAGTAAAGAAGCAAGGGAATGAGTGAGCGAGTGCATGTAACTCGCCTTGGACCACTGGTACAATGAGTACAATGACCCTTCACCGGCAAAAAACCGACCTGTGCTGGGCAGCACAGTGACTGCCCCATCCCGGGTGGCACTCTGACTTGCCTGTGATGGAGGGCAGCGTGGCGGACTTGCCTGTGATGGAGGGCAGCGTGGCGGACTTGCCGCGCACGTTGAGGTGGCGGCGCGACTTGAGCTGGCCCCCGTCCACCACGTGGCACGCCACATCTTGAGACGTCTTGCGCTTCACCTGGAACGACATCATGCCGCCTGGCACGGTGGGGAGGGGACGGAGGGGTGAGGAAGGAAGCGATGGTTCAAGTGGGTGGGAACGGGCGAGGTGGGATGGGAGGGTTAGCGATTATTGGCAGGAGGAGCGACGGGAGGTGGTAGGGGAAGAGAGCAGAGAAGGGAAGAGCGGGACGTCGCGCATGGGCAATCGTCACAACCGTGTCACACAATCCCACTTCTCACCCGCTTCTGCACCTGACCACTCCATGTGCTCTCACGCTCCACAACGATGACGTCAGCACGCCCAGCCAGCCAGCTCACCATCGACGAGGATGATGTCATCGACGTCCACGTCATCAATGAAGCCGTCGTAGTTGACGCTGACGGTGCGGTGCGACCCCACTCCCCGCCGGATGGTGAATGTGAAGCTCTCCCCCGGCTCCAGCTCTATGGGCTGCGGGATGTCGCCACTGCGCACCTCGGGACCCTGGGAGGAGGAAGAGGAGGGAAATGGGTAAATGGATGGGTAGAGGAGGGGGAGAGAGGGAGGGCGGAGGGCGCGGGAGGAGGGGGCGGGCACTCAGCTTGGTCAGCAAGGACACTCAGCACTGTTCAGCGCCAAAGACTGCTCGAGGGAGAGAGCGACTCACCTTGCTCTCCAGTATAATGGCCAGCACATTCGTTGCGCCCTGCCTGACCTGCCCCTGCAGTCTCTTTGAACCCGAATTTTCTGCTCCTCTGGCAGCACTGTTCAATGACAAGGGCGGCTCAAGAAAGCGTGCACGCACCTTGGTGTCGAGCATGATGGCGAGCACGTTGCCGGCGCCCTGGCTGGCCTGCCCCTTGTTGTACTCCCTCACGAGGTCGACGACGCGGCGGTGCGACTGGTGGTCGCCGTGGCTCATGTTCAGCCGCACCACGTTCATGCCCGTCTCCGCCAGCTTCCACAGCATCTCGCGCGTGTTGCTGCCATGTCAGGAGAGGAGGGGAGGGGGAGGAGGGAGGAGGAAGTGGAGGGTGAGGGCAGAAAGGACGTGCAGGGAACGTGTTACAGCTACAAGGGATGAACTAAACCTAGCTGCCGCAACAGTCTACCACGCCCGCAGCCACGCCCGCAGCCATGCCCGCAGCCATGCCCGCAGCCATGCACACCGCCACACCTGGCCGGGCCGCCGCTAATCCACCCGCTAGCACCGGTGGGGCGGATGGCGCACCTGATGGGCCCGATGGTGCGGCGGAGGGCGCACCTGGCGGACCGGAGGGCGCACCTGGCGGAAGGCGCACCTGGCGGACCGGAGGGCGCACCTGGTGGGGCCGATGGTGCAGACGATCTTGGTCTTGCGCTGGTACGTGGACTGCTGCGTGGCCGCCACGTCAGAATCCATCATCACCTGCCGCTCCGTCTGCTGCGACGCCGCCGCCGCCGCCGCCGCCTCCATGTCGCGCACGAACGCCGCCTGCTCCGCCGCCGCGCGCTGCCCCTGGTACGAGTAGTAGCTGGGGGGAGGTGGAGGGGAGCGGGAGGGGGAAGGGGAGGCGAAGGGGTGCGGAGGAGAAAGGGGAGGAGGGGGGGGAAGAAAGAGATCGGGGGAGGAAGGGTGTAAAAGGAAGAGAAGCGTGTCGAGGGGTTGAGGGCGAAAAAGGGAAGGTACGGAGACTGCAGTCAGTGGAGAATTGGAACGGTTGGATAGGCCTAGGGGTTTGGGTGCAGAGCAGTGTGTCTGAGGCGCGGATCAGAACGCGAGGTGAGGCGGGCATGAGCACTTTGAAGGATGTGAATCAGTTTGAGCGATGAGCATTGACGCAAAGCGCGTAGATCCAAAGGACGAGCGCGGAAACGGGAAGCAATTATCCGCGAAGTAACAATTTAGAGCAACAAGAGTAACTAATTAAGCGCAACCGCGAAGCTTCTAGGTGTGGATCCGCAATTCGTCGACCAAGACCGTCGAAAACTCTAAGAGACGCCCGAGGCCACCTAGGCGCATCAATTTTCTTGAAGTGCAGTGGCGTTACGAGTTGGGAAGAATCGAACAACTCCGAGACGAAAATCACGAAACGTCGCAAGCACAATCCCCACAGTGCCGTCGCCCCACAGCCGCCTAAAGGTACCCTTTATGAGCAACGAAACCAGCGCATTCTCAATCCCGCTCTCCGCCTCACCCGCTGGCGCGTCTGCCCGAGCCGCCGGTCTGAACGGCGTCGTCCTCGGGACTCACGGGAACCAGCGCGCCGATCCCCGTCCCCTCATCCTCATCCCCCGCGCGCCGCCCCAAACGCCGCCGCGCATCCGCCCGCACGACGCATGTGCCGCTGCCGGGTCGCTGCGAGGAGGAGGCGTTAAGGGCGGTGGAAGCGCCTTGTGTGTCGCCGTGGGAGGCGGGGAGCGCGCGAAGGCCCGCGAAGGACGCGAAGTTGACCGCAGCGAGGGCCGCCATGACGGAGAGGCGCGGACGCTCGGGAGAGTTGAATGCGATTCGCGTCAGAATCGCGCGATATGGCGGCAGCAGGCGACGGAATACGAGTTAGTAGAGAGAAACTGAATCAACAAAAGGAGCCCTGTGTGTTGAGTTGAAATCAGGGACTTGTGTTGTAGATCTCACTGGAACGGTTCACTGTACTCGCGAATTGGATTCCCCTCGTTGTTGCCTTTCAAGGCAGTCGACGGTTTCATTGGCGGTTGCTTTTGTGACACAATCGCGAGCCCCATTGACAGGGAAGAGGGCATGGGGGAAAGTGAGAAGATAGATATGTGAGCTGGAAGGCGAACGGCGATTTGACGTGGCGGTTACGATGATGACGAGTAGGGTGGACCGCCCATGACAGGTAGACACGCGTCGGTAAAGTTCATCGTTGACGCACAATCTACGTGGAATGTAATCGAATTTCTGGCTTACAGATACATAATGTATGTACTATATTTACACCAGCCGTGTGTGATACCAGTATATCAAATAACTTCAATGGTAAAAATGGAGTGGATCTAAACCTCAGGGTACATTGAGCTCAGGACATGTCCCAATAGAAAGTGTCCCAATCGAATCTACCGCACTGCATCTTATTACACCGAATTCCACCCTAGTTTCACACATTGTCAAAATTTTCGCGTCTCTGGTTTAGTTCGGTTCGGAGCGGTACACCCGATTGGGACATGTACTTTTGGGACATGTCCAGAGCTGAATGTACCCTCAGTACAAAGGTCACCTGGGAACTTGCTAGCACATTGCTAGCAATTAAGAAATTAGCTAGGAGGGTGCAAGGGTCATAATGATAACTTTATTTTTGCGATAAGTAAATCCTGCTCACATTTTGATTTTCCAGGCCTAATTTCAGGCCTACATGGTGATTTGATCGGATAAGAACAGCCCTAATCAATGGCGCCTGGCGGCTCCAAGTCCAACCCCATGTGCCGGCTGCTTCCGGAGCTAGTATGCGGTCTAGTGACCACAGCGGGCCTAATCTGCCGTTGAGCCTCGTGTGACACGCTCTTCACAAGAACCCGTCTCCCTGGATCCCGTGGCATGTCTTCCACTGCTGCTGCCCGCTCAGTGCCCGCGTGCTCGTACGATGAAGTGCGCCTGATCTTGGTCCGCATGGGAGCGCGGAATGGGTGCGAATCAAGAGACGCGTGGGAAACATGGAAAATGGTACGGGAAGTGTGGGCAGCGTGGGGAGAGTGGGAGGTGTGGAGAGAGTGGGGAGAGTGGGGAGTGTGGGGAGAGTGGGAAGCGTGGGGAGAGTGGGAAGCGTGGGGAGAGTGGGGAGCATGGGGAGAGTGGGAAACGTGGGGAGAGTGGAGAGCGTGGGAAGGGTGGGAAGCGTGGGGAGAGTGGGAAGCGTGGGGAGAGTGGGAAGCGTGGGGAGAGTGGGAAGCGTGGGAAGCAGGTGAAGCGTGGGAAGCAGGTGAAGCGTGGGAAGCAGGTGCAGCGTGGGAAGCAGGTGAAGCGTGGGAAGAGTGAGAAGCAAGTGATGCGTGTGAAGCATGGGAAGCAGGGGGGTGCATGGCATGGTCCTGCTGCTGCCATGGCATGTCGCTCCCCACAGCCCCCTGCCCTGCATCAGAGTCACCCCAAGCATGTGTCCCCCGAGAGCTCTGACTGCTTCGGAAGCTGCGCCCGCTTGTCTCTGCACCAGCCGGCGAGGAGTCCGCATCCCGGCCGCTGCGGTTCCACAGGTGCTTCAGGGAGATGCGGTGGGCGGCTGCGGCACTCCATCGACGAGTGAGCGCAGGTGCATGTTGGTGAGGAGAGGCTGGGCCCAAGGAACTGTGAGAGCGCCCACCAGACGAGAACCCCCTTCGGGGTCGCTCATACCCCCCGCTGCTTGATGCACGCCCGTACCCCTTGCCCTTGCTGCCTGAGTCCAGGCTGTACCTCCTCTGGCCTGCTCCGAAGCTGGCAGGGTCGGTGCGTGACCGAACCAGAGACGGGGAGAAGGACCACCTGCTCCCATGCGCTGCATCATGCTGCTCTCTAACGTCCTCCTCCCCTAGCCCCTCCCTTGGCACCGCCGGCCTGTCCGGCCGATGCCCCATCAGCACTCCATAGCACCCCACAAGAGCAGCAGCATCGCTGTCAGGAGAGGGCGGGGAGTCGCCATCCCTACTGCGACCACCTCCGGCCGCCCCGCCCTGTGAGCCCAGGCTGCGGGTTCTGGGGGTGATGTGCTGCTCACCGCCTCCACCCTCCAGCCCCGACCTGCTGCGCCGCACTACCAGGGGCCCGCTGTGGAAGATGGAGTCCAGGCCGGACCACGCAGGCCGGATATTTTTGCTGGGAGTGGAAGCGGTGGACTTGGGTGTGGTGGACTTGGGTGTGGATGAGTTGGATGTGGTGACGGTGCTACTTCTCCTGCTGAAGGGCGAACTAAATTCGAGCCGCCCACTGTTCCTTGTGTGATGGGGGTCCGATTTGCTTCTTACTAGGTTGTTACCATCTTCCACTTTGTCAATTTCGCTAGAGTATCTAGAACTCGCGTCAGCGTCAGCCAGTTCACCAGCAAATCTGCCTCCCCTGTCGAAACTTACATGAGCCGAAGCACCCTTACTACCAGTCGTGAGACTTCGCCTTGTACCGATGCTGTCAGTAACGTGGACGTCGTTTCCCCCCAAAGACCGCGAGTGTCGAACGCCATGAGGCGGCGAAACCGAGTGGCTAACAGCGACCTTCTTGGCCTGCCCTAATCTGTAACCTTCGCGTTCGCTGTGAAACCTCGATAAGCTTCGACTAGTTTCCACACTCGCCCAACTGTTCCTCCCACCACCACTGCCGTCGCTAGTAGCGCTGCTGCCCGTACCCGCGCTCCACGTGGCACCCCGCACAAGAGCACGCGGAGCAGCGCCCATCACGGGCGAGGCTTTCGGCGAAGCTGCTGCTCTCACGGGCGAACTTTGGCGCGGCGGCACGGGCCTGTGCCTGCTGCTGCTGCTGCTGCTGCTATCGCCGCTGCCCTCACTCCCTGCTCGTTCAAACTGCGTCGTCCCTTCGGGTTCCCTGTCCCTTTCCTCCTCCTTCTCCACCTCGCCCTCATCGCTTCCCACGAGCGTAACGTAGTAATCATCTTGCCCTGCGTAGTCAACTTGCCCTGCACATTCATCTTGGGCGGAATCGGAGTCGTGGGTGGCAAACTCATCTTGGGCAGCAAACTCATCTTGGGCGGCAAACTCATCTTGGGCGGCAAACTCATCTTGGGCGGCATCGTCGTCTGTGGAATCGGAACGGTCGTCTCTTACACCGTCCTCGATCGGATCGCGTTGCGACGCGTCGTCGTCGCCCCCTCCCCGCGCCCGCGCCTCCTTGTGCCGCGCAAGCCCACGAGCAGCCCCCACGGCCGCGGCTGCCGCCTTGGCGGCGGCGGACAGCACGCCCCGCTGAGACCCCGCCTTTCCTCCTGCCGCGCGCTCAGCCCCGGCGATACTTCCGCCGCCGCTCCTGCAGCTCCCGCCGTTCGTCTCTCCGCCCAAAATCCCGCTGCCACCGGCGGGTTGCGCAAGTAGCTGAAGTAGGCTGCTGTTCTCGTGGCTTCGGCTGCTGCTGCTGCTGCTGCTGCCGGTCTTCTTGTCCGCGTCTACCCCGTCGTGCTCCTTCCATCCCTCCACGGCGTGCTCGCTCACGCGGTGCCCCCGCTGCAGCGAGGGGCGGCGCAGCGTCGCGACGAGCAGCCTCCACACGTTATGCGCCTCGCGCACCACGCGCTGCGCCTTCCGCGCCGTTTTCTCCCAGTCGTCCGCGTCGCTGCGCTGCGGGGATTCGAGGATCCGCCATGGGTTCGGCCCCACCGTCGTGAACCCTCCCGCGTCGGCCCACGCCTTCACTTGCGGCAGCGCCGTCGCCGCGACGGCCGCCGTCTCCCCCGCCTCGACTTGCGGATCGTCCGCCGCTACTACGACCAGCTTCCACGAAACTTCCGACTTCAGGCCTGGCCGCAGGCGCACGGGCAGCGCGAGGAGCGGCAGCACGGGGAACACGTCGCCCGGGTCGCGCTCCCTTGCGCCCACCTCCACCGCCTCCAACGGCGCGTTGTCCAGAATCACGGGAAACGCGGCGTCGGGCTCGGCGAAGGGGTCGCCAGAGGTGTCGCTAGAGGCGTCGCCCAGAGGGTCGCCGAAGGGGATGCAGGACACGGAAAGCGAGCGGAAAAAATCACGCCTGATCGTAGCGACGGGTTCGCTTGGAGGGAGTGCGGTTGGGCTCGGTTCGGAGGGGACCGGGGCGAGGACGCATGTTTGCGGGATAATGCCGACGTTCCACTGGCGCTGCTCCGCGTCGTCGACGCGCACGCTGCCATCGAGCGACAAACGACGACGACGACCCGAGAGCGACGCGGCGAACGACGAGGACTTGGCGGACGTGCAGATGAAGTTGAGCAGCGGGGGTGGCTTGCTGCGGGACGAGCGGGGACTGGCGGCGGCGAAGGGGGAGAAGAGGACGATGTCGTGCCAGATGGAGACGACGTGGCCCGCGCGAATGAGCGGAAGGAGGTTGCCTTGAGGCCGTTCAGACATGATTCGAGGCGACTGGGAGAAGTGTGTTGGGCGAAAACATGACTAATTATCTAGAGGTGAACGAAGTAGCTAGTAAGAATGTGGAAATGGCGGAAGTTGAACATTTGGATGAGGGATTTCTCGAGTGTCGCTCAGCAATGGCGCATGGACAGTATACAGTGTACTGGTAAAGTTGCTCCATGGTGTTGAAAAGCTTGTTACATGGTTTCTGGATTTGGTACATCCACCCACTTCTGGCTTGTGGTCGCTTCGCTTGTGAGGGCGGGTGATTGTATTTGAAGGTTCATTCTGGTGCGCAATGGTTTAAAGCGGTGAGAGTCGAAACTTGCTAGCGTGGCTGACCGTGCGCGTCAGAAGAACTATCGTATGACCTGGCTTTGAAGAACTATCAAGCCGAGCCTGTCGGCAAATAGCCATGCATTTGTAAGTGCCTCTTTGTAAGGAATTATTCATTCCTTACAGAAATTACTCTACAAGTACAACAATTTTCCGAGATATCAGGCTCGGCCCGATGACCTCACCTTCTGTAGCTGACCTTCGTCGCCTTCGGACTCGTCTTCCGAGGTCCCCGTCTAGTTAGCACCCTCTTTACATCTTTTCTAGGCTTTGATTCATTATCAGTACCGGTAGCTGCAATAACTTCTTCAATATTAACTTCTTCGCACCATTCATTGACAATTCAGATCTACTTTCAATACTTGGTATCATATATAATTTCCTAGGTTTTCCCGCGTTTCCAAGGTGGTTTTTATTGATATAACCAAGAATCGTAGTGGATATGATAAGTCTAGCCAAGTTGTGAGAAGACAGTGAAGTCTTTGAAATGACCTTGTTAATAATAGTTGAAAAATAACAAGATGATTTAAGATAGAAATACAAGGAGTTTAAATAGCAATCCTAGCTAGCAATGTACTCTGAGGAACACATGTCATAATCAATACAGCGAAATGAGGTGCAATAGCATGAGTGAGGAGTACAAGTAGTGCTAACCCTAATGGGTTGTACTCAGTACAGTCAAGAGAAGAAAGAAAGCAAAGCAAGCTCAGGGTGGATCTCAAGATCACCACACATTCCGATTACAAGCAAGCGGCCAAGGCCAGATCACATGCAGTTTTATAATAGAGCAAGTAGTACAATGATTACAACCTAGCAACCAGAAACATGCAGGTTTATATATCAAAGTACAAGACAAGATCAAGGGACAAGGGCAAGCTCACCCCCGACGCACATAGGACACGAAGAGACAGAAACAAGACCGGCAAGGTAGGCACGGCGGCAAGTAGCGGCAAAGCCAGCGAGCTCAGCTACTAAGGCAGTAGCAGCAGAAGTCGAAGAAGCAGGTGCAGTCACAAGCGCGGCTAGACAACAAGGGATAGTCGGGCGAGCAGCACGAGCAAGGTCAGACACAGTGTCAGGAACGGCAGGAAGAGAAAACGGGGGAGGTAACGGCAGGACAACAAGCTCCCGAGCAAAACGAGAGGTAGCAGGGGAGGCAGCACAAGACACAGGTACCCGACGCTCAGTCAGGGAGACGGGCGACGGGGAGTATCGAGCAGGTGCAGTCAGAGGGGAGTCAAGCGGCGGAAACAACAGAGGATGAACATTACCAGTGGACGTCGGCTCAGCAGAGGCAGTCGGGAATCTGGGTGGTGAAGCGCCGACTCAGGTAGCGACGATGACGGCTGCTCCAAGAAGATAGGCCGCCGCGGCTGCGACTGCGACGCACCCCCAGACCCAGCACCTCCAGTACCTCCAGCACCAGCAGCTCCAGCACCTCCAGTACCAGCAGCTCCAGCACCTCCGGCACAAACACCAGGACCGCCAGTCCCAGGAACACCTCCAGCGCCAGCACCAGCACCTCCCGCGCCAGTACCTCCACCTCCACCAGCAAAAGGACTCCTAGCACCCCCAGAGTCAGCACCCCCAGAACCAGCACCCCCAGAACCACCACCCCCAGGAAAACCCGGAAAACCCGGAGGCGAAAAACCCGGAGGTGTCTCCAATCGCGGCGAGCGGCGAGAGGTCGGTGTGTCGGCAGTAGCAGGGAAGGTAAGCGGCAGCGCAAGACGGCCTAGGGTGGCAGGAGGGGGGGGGGGAGTAGTGCCTAACCACAGCGGTATATAAAGCATGGGCTGACGGCACCTGGCGAAAGTTGGCTCTCTGGTCGAGCGAGAGGCGCGGACTGCAAGTATGGCGGCGGCGTCGCGCGCCCTCCACCGCTTGTAGGCAATGCGGCCAGCGCGGTATTGCGTCTGCACCTCCTCCTCAGCGGCAACAGTAGGCTCAGCAGGAGCCTCGAGGGCCGGAAGGGACCCCGACGTGTGCTCAAACAGGGAGGCGTTGTCCTGAGTGACACTCTGGAGGTACTGGTGCAGACCCTCTAGCCAGGACTCAAACTGTATCGGGTGGCCCTCGGCGTCAAAGGTGAGCACAGTGGGAGTCGCCATAGCAGCAGTAACGGCTGCAAGGGCGGCAGCAAAGGCGGCTCGGCAGGGGGGCTCGGCTGGGCCAGCAGCAGCGCAGGCAACAGCAGCTCCTGCAGCTTAGCAGCAGCATCAGCACAGGCGGCAGTAGTAGTGTAGCAGCAGCAGTAGCACAGGCGGCAGTAGCAGCGTATCCGCAGCAGTAGCAGCGTATCCGCAGCAGTAGCAGCACTCGGGGAAAGGCGGCGCTAGCGCGGGACAGGGCAGCGCGGGTCAGCGCACGTGGGTGGCAGCAGCACCTAGGGCGGTAGTAGCAGGCGGCAGCACCTAGGGGGACAACACCTAGGGCAGCAGCAGGCGGCAACACCTAGGGCGGCAGCAGCAGCACCTAGAGCAGCAACACGGCAGTGCCTAGGGCTGCAGCGGCAGCACTTAGGGCGGCAGCAGCAGGCGGCGGCACCTAGGGCAGCAGCTAGCGGTAGCACCTAGGGCGGCAGCACCTAGGGCGAGGCAGAGCGCGCTGTGCACATGGCAGTCGCGCGCGGACAGGGCAAGCGTGCAGGCAGGGCAGGCGCTCAGGGCAGGGCAGAACAGTCGCGCGCGGGCAGCGCACGGTGCAGGGCAGCTTGCGGGCGGGAGCTGCAGCAGCGGGCGACAGCTGCAGCAGCGTCACTTGTGCGCATGCAGGGCAGGTGCGGGCAGCGCTAGCGGGGCAGGGCAGGGGCGCGCGGGCGCTGGGCAGCGGGGCGCGCATGGGCACAGGGCAGCGCTGGGCAGCGGGGCGCGCGCTGGCGCTGGGCAGCAGGGCGCGCGCTGGCGCTGGGCAGCGGGGCACGCGCTGGCGCTGGGCAGCGGGGCGCGCATAGGCACAGGGCAGCGCTGGGCAGCGGGGCGCGCGCTGGCGCTGGGCAGCAGGGCGCGTGCTGGCGCTGGGCAGCGGGGCGGGCGCTGGCGCTGGGCAGTGGGGCACGCGCGGGCACGGGGCAGTGGGGCATGCGCGGGCGCTGCGCAGCGGGGCGCGCGCAGGCGCTGGGCAGCGGGGCACGCGCGGGCACGGGGCAGCGGGGCACGCGCTGGCGCTGGGCAGCGGGGCGTGCGCTGGCGCTGGGCAGCGGGGCACGCGCTGGCGCTGGGCAGAGGGGCGCGCGCTGGCGCTGGGCACCGGGACACGCGCGGGCGCTGGGTAGCGGGGCGCGCGCTGGCGCTGGGCAGCGAGGCGCGCGCTGGCGCTGGGCAGCGGGACACGCGCGGGTACGGGGCAGCAGGGCGCGCGGGGCGCGCAGGGCAGCAGGGCGTGCAGGGCACGCGGGGCAGGTCAGCGCGATAGCGCTGGGCAGGGCAGGGCACGCGCGCGGCGAGCAGGGAAGCGCGGACAGCAGTGCAGCACGCGCGGCAGCAGGGCAACGAGGGGCAGCGCGGAGCAGCGCGGAGCAGCGCGACCGCGCGGGGCAGGGCAGGGCAGGGAACACGCGCGGCGAGCAGGGCAGCGCGCGATGGCAGCAGCTCCTGTGGCAGGAGTGACGGTGGGCCTTAAAAACAAACGGTCCTAGATCAGGACCTGCTCTGAAACCATGCCAGAATCAATACAAGCACTAGCATGAGTGGGGAGTACAAGTAGTGCTAACCCTAATGGGTTGTACTCAGTACAGTCTACCGCACTACAGCCTACACAACATATAAGTTATTTTGACAGCACATTCCCTTATTAACTGTATTGCATTGCTACAGTAACCGCGACAATTGCTATACTCGACAGTTACCATGTTGCATCGTGTAACCTCCGAGTACGGTTACTGGGCGGTCAACAGTCGCGACCGTTGACTACCTGCGACTGTTGACCTTTGAGTGGCTTTCAGGTTGCCGCGCGCTCTATATGAGCTTAACGCGATACTCGTACAGGAGCGCTGCCTCGTCATGAAGCGATGCGCTAAGGGAAGCCTTCGGGAATGTTATAATAACCATCGGCTATTCCAACACTCCCCTTCATTCCTGTAGGTGAGCCACGTGGGATTTCTTCGAGATCCCGCAGAGGTCGGTGTCAAACATATATGCTATAGCTTGCTTAGGCTGTAGTGGGGTAGTCAATATGGGGTACAACACTTTAGGGTTTCAGAACTTGTACCCAACTTTCTGCTAATGCAATCACTTCTTGTTTCTAGTTTCAACATGGTATCAGAGCAGGTCCTCCGTTAGGACCGGTTTTCTTAGGGCCCACCACACTGTCACTGCTGACTGCCCCTGACTGCCCTCGCGCCCTCGTGCGCACTGTCCTACCCGCGCCCTCGTGCGCTCTGCTTTGCTCGCGCCCTCGAGCGCCACCCTGAATAGCGCGCTGCAGCCGATCGTTCGCCACTACTTCGATCAGTCGCCTCTCGCTGCCCTATCTCTTCCCCGATCTAGCCGCTTTTACCACAGTCGCTGACCTCATCACTCACCTCCGTACTAGTGACACTCGCTACCTCGCTGCCCTTCCTGCCGAGTTCCTAGCCAAGAACCCCCCCCCCCCCCCCCCCCGATGTACCTCACCCTTTATCACCTCGTCGCCCGTCTCCCTGACTCTCTTCGTCCAGTCAGGGACCACTTCCTCGCTCTCTCCCCCACCGAGCTCACCATTGACCTGCTTGAGACACAACTGCTTGCAGCTGAGGCTATCATTAACGCAGTAGGTGCCTCTCGTGGCGAGCCCCGCACCCCGTTCTTTGAGGGGTGTTCCCCCTGCCCCCTGCTCCCCTCGTTTGCCTCTGCTGCTGCTGTTGACCTTCTTGGTGCTGAGAAGGCCGGGGCTGCGTCTGCTCCTAGTGGGACGCGCCGCAGCGGCAAGGGCAAGGGGGGCAAGGGTGGTGGAGGTGGCGGCGGGGGAGGTGGTGCTGGAGGTGGCGGAGGCGGTGGGGGTGGCGGAGGCGGTGGGGGTGGTGGCGGGAGTGGGGGGGGGCAGTGGCAGCGGCGGGAGTGGTGGTGGCAGCGGTGGGGGAGGAGGCTGGGGTGGAGGCGGTGGTGGTGGCGGCAGTGGGCGTGGTGGCGGCGGCGGTGGCGGTGGTCGCGGTGGAGCGGCGCAGCGTGGAGGTTCTGGTAGTGACCAGCGCCAGCAGCAGCAGCGTCCCCGAGAGACCCCGTCGTCCCAACAGCTTCGTGAGTGGTGCTCTCAGCGTGGGGGGTCTGGGGGTGGGGGTAGCTGCCCGTACGTCATCCGCACTGGTGACCGCGCTGGCCAGACGTGTGGGAGGTTCCACACGCAGCACCGCTGCTTCTCTCACCTCGACGACGCCTGGCGCGCACAGTTTCCTGACGCTGCTGAGCTCCCTCGCTGGGCTGATCTGCTTAAGAGCAACATTGATATCTTTGCTCTTGACTTTGATGCTATCCTTGGTGCCATGTATGCATTGACTGTTAGTGTTGAGGAGGACTGTTACCTGTGTGTTCCGCCCGACCCGGACATTGAGACCAGTGAGGCTGCTGCTCTAGGTGCTATTGAGTCGGCTGCCCCAGGTGCTAGTGAGGCTACTGCTCTAGGTGCTAGTGAGTCTACTGCTCCAGGTGCTAGTGAGTCTGCGCTGTCTGGTACTGCGCCTGCTGAGGCCCTGCACGCCTTCGTTCTTGACTCAGGTGCTTCCCGCTGTTTCTTTCGCGACCGTACTGCCCTCACACCGCTCCCCCGGCCTGTTGCTGTCTCCCTGGCTGACCCCTCTGGGGGCCCGGTCCTTGCGAGTTCCTCCATTGTCCTCCCGTGTCCGGCGGTTCCGTCTGGCTCACTGTCGGGTCTCCACCTCCCCTCGTTCTCTATGAACTTGGTGAGTGGCGGTGTCCTCCAGGATGAGTGGGTTTCCCAGTGGACTCCTGGAGGGCAGCGTGTGACCCACTGTACGTGTGCGCGGACGGGTCGTCACCTGGCCACGTTCACTCGTCGGCCAGGGTCGAACCTGTACACACTGACCACTGAGTCTCGTCAGCTAAGAGACACACGTGCACAGATCTGGGTGAGCTGACAAGCTATCTTGGCTTGCGGATCACCCGGGACAGAGCACAGCGCACCATTACCTTGACTCAGTCACACATGGTGCAGCAGGTCCTTCAGCGCTTCCGCTTCACGTACCCCTCGCCACAGTCCACTCCTCTGCCTACCGGTCACTCGCTCTCAGCTCCACCTTCGGACGAGTCCGTAGAGCCGAGTGGCCCGTATCCAGAGCTTGTGGGCTGCCTCATGTACCTGATGACCTGCACTCGACCTGACCTTGCCTACCCTCTTAGCATTCTAGCACGCTATGTCGCTCTTGGCAGACACAGGAAGGAGCACATGGATGCTGCTAAGAGGGTGTTGCGCTACTTGTGCAGTACGTCGGGCATGGGGCTCGTGCTTGGAGGACGAGGTCGAGTTGTCCTCACTGGTCACGCAGACGCTTCTTGGGCTGACGACTTGGCTACGCAGCGGTCGTCACAGGGTTACACCTTCAGCCTTGGCAGGCGGAGAACCCGGCGGCCGCTTCACTCTGAAAATCCACATGCCATCGACTATGTTCGCCCCAGGAGGGGGAACCTCGTCGACGTAGGTGCCTGTGGACTTCCAGGAAGCCATCTCTGCGTCTATGGGTGTCTGCCACTGAGAGGAGTACTCACCTGTGATCGCCTCTGCGTAAGAGCATGGGGTGGGGATGTCAAGTGCATCCGGGTCTCCCTCAGGGCAAAGCAGCATGGACGCGAAACGAGGTAAAGCGGCCGCGAGACACTCAAGCTCAAACTGCCTGTCCTCAAGGACGTCACTGCTAAGGGCAAGCTCACCCCCGACGGACGAAGGACAGACAAACTCTGACTCAGTAAGAAGACTCGCGACGTAGTCGAGACGACGGGTAGCAGCAAAGTCGACTAGCACAGTGACTAGGGCAAACCCAGCAGTAGACTCAAAGGAAGGGTCAGTGACGACAGTGTCGAGGAGAGGAGTGACAGTAGGACTAGCCGCACGAGCAAGGTCGGACTCAGGGTCAGGAACGCCAGGAAGAGAGGACGCCGGAGGAGACGGCAGGGCAACACGCTGTGGAACAGAGGAAGGACGAAGTGCCATCATGTGCGTGCCGGGGACAGGTGGAGGATGAGGACAACGAGCACGTCTGACAGTGCAAACAGGGGAGGCATGACGAGACTCAGGCTCACGACACTCTGCCCGTAAGCCTGTCTGCGCACGGTAAGGAGACGGAGAAGGCAGTGGGGAGCCAGGTTGTAACGGTGGCTGTGACTGGTCATGCGGAGGACACAGGAGAGGCGGAGTAAGGCCAGTGGAAGACGGAAGACTAAGAACCTGACGAAGTGCCGAGTCAGGCGGTGGCAAGGACGACTGCGGCTGCGGGTAGAAAAACGGTCGTCGCGGCGCAGTACCCGTACTGCCAGTAGCTCTAGCACCCCCAGCTCGAGTACCTCAAGCACCTCCAGCTCCAGCACCTCCAGCACCAGCAGCTCCAGTACCTCCAGTACCTCTAGCTCCAGCACCTCCAGCACCAGTAGCTCCAGCACCTCCAGCACCTGTACCTCCAGCACCTCCAGCTCCAGTACCTCCAGTACCAGCAGCTCCAATACCTCCAGTACCTCCCGCTCCAGCACCTCCAGCACCAGCAGCTCCAGCACCTCCAGCACCTCCAGTACCTCCAGCACCAGCGCCTCTAGCACCACTAACTCTAGTAACACTAGCACTAGCACCTCCAGCTCTAGTACCTCCAGCACCTCCAGCTCCAGCACGTCCGGCTTCGCCACCGGGGCTGCCCCACCAGACAGCCTACTCGCGAAGCCGCTCCGGCGAGTGAGTCTCCTGCCGACGTGCCCCAGTACCACCAGCACCAGCACCACCAGCACCTCCAACCGCAGCACCTCCAGCAGCAGCACCTCCAACACCTCCTGTACCCGTAGGACACTCAGCACCCCCAGAGCCAGCACCCCCAGAGTCTGCACCCCCTATCACCACCTCCTGCAGCACCAGAGTCCACAGCGACGGGCTGCAGAGGCGGTGAAGACGGTCGAGGCGGAAACCCTGGAGGGGCCGCCAAGCGCGCTGAGCGGCGAGGGGCCACGGTGTCTGCAGCAGTCGGGTCACCCGCCTCAGCTGGGCCAGAGGTGTCGGAGGAGACCTCCAACGGCTGAACCAAGGGGGACGGGTCAACCTGGGACACACCTGAGGGAGCAGGACCCTGCGGGGGGAGTGGGGCTACGGGGGGAGGGGGTCGGGTACCAGAAAGAGAGGCGGGAGGGGCACAGGGGAGCTGCGGTGGGGGTGGAGACGGTAGTAGCGGACAGACTCGTCAAAGGTGACGTCCTGGGAGGAGAGGACACGACGAGAACCCAGGTGGT